ATCCGTCTAAACAGCCCAATCGCTTACAAAAACATAAAAATGGGGGGGGCTCTCAACAGAGCATGAAAAGGACACTTGTTCACAGAGCTGAAGCCCAGAGGCGGAGCGTTAAAGGACCACGAAGCGCCACAGGTGTTGGTCTTGGGTTGGGAATTTTAGCAAGTAGGCGAAGTCCCAAATAAGGCCTGTGCGTAACGAGGCCCAGCATTCGTCCTCTCCCGTTCTTGCCCCCCTCCGGGCCTTGTAGGGACGTGCCCGGGTGGCCCCCAGAGCTGGGCTCTACGCGGCTTCAGGAGAACGGCTGAGCCAACAGTGGAGAAAGCACAAGGTGCCTCCAGCACCACCATCCACATCCTGTGGCTTCCAGGCCCGCGCCTTTGGGGTCTAGGGCTTTTTTGAGAGCGTTGGCTTTGTGGATGAGGAAGGGAACCCAGGTGGCCAGCCGGGGATGGGCGTGCTGCCCGCCTCCATGTGTCCTGGGCTGCGAAGGCTGTTAGCAGCGCCCCGGACCCTCCGCTGCCCCCCGTACCCCAGCAAGGCCGGCGGCTGGCAGCTGGCCCGGCAGGGTCCAGACCTCCCTGCAGCCCTGTCCGCCCCCACAGGCGGAGTTTGCCATGTTTAGCGGGACGCACGTGGAGCGGGACTTCGTGGAGGCACCTTCTCAGATGCTGGAGAACTGGGTGTGGGAGAAGGAGCCGCTGCTCAGGATGTCCCAGCACTACAAGACGGGCAGCGCCATCCCCCAGGAGCTGCTTGAGAAGCTCATCAAGTCTCGGCAGGCCAACACAGGTGCCCACTGGGAGCCGCCTCCCGCCCGGGGCCGCCGCCCTCCCTTCCGCCCGGGGGCCGCCCGGGGCCACCCTCCTGCCTGGGGCCTCCGGGAGGCCTTGCCCCCGAGGTTGGGGGCGCGGGGGAGGCCAGGCGTGTGCCGCCTTCTGAGGGAGTACAGAGCCGGCTTCCCTGTCTCCATCCGCCCGTCAGGTCTCTTCAACCTGCGCCAGATCGTACTGGCCAAGGTGGATCAGGCCCTGCACACCCAGACGGCTGCAGACCCAGCGGAGGAGTACGCCCGCCTCTGCCAGGAGATCCTTGGGGTCCCAGCCACGCCAGGTAGCCGCTCGCAAGGTGGGCCCACCTGGGGGGGGGGCGTCAGGGTCCCAGCCGTTCCCGGAGGCAGAAGGATCTAGTGACGTGTGGAGGGAGTCAGGCCAGTCTCTAGGTGGTGGCTGAGCCCCGGGAGGAAGCAGACGGCCTCTGGCGCCCTTGCCGCTTGGTGTTCCTGGGCCTGTGGGCTCCAGCGTGTGGCTGGGAGCTGGTGGGTGTGAGCAGCTCCATCCCTTCTTGCCGTCCCTCCTTCCGCTCAGGCTGTATGCCGCTTCCCTCCCCGCCAGCCCCCGAACTCCCTCAGCGGTGCCTTCCCGCACCCTGCTCTGGAATAGGCCTGGGAGGTGCCGCAAAGAGCAGGGATGTCCTACCCTGGAGGCAGAGAGGAGATCAGGTTGTGATGCCTGTCCTTGGGCGTTCTCGAAAGTGCTTGGATGAACACATGTGAAAATCGGAATTTCAGCGTAGGGGGTATGGCGTTGCTTTATTCTACAAGCACTTAAAAATCCTTTCAAAAGTTTAACCAGGGCGTGCTTTCCACCGTATGGGCGTGCCTTGATTTATCCTTTTGTGTGAACTCTTCAGCGTCAGCAGGTAGCAGGCCAAGTTGTCCAGCTACCACTTTCTTGTGGGGCCCGTTCCTCTCCTCCTGGGTGTGTGGGTCACCTCTGATGGGGCTGATTTGAGGCTCCCTTCTCCCGGCAGCGGGCACTGAGGGGGCTGGGGAATGGGGGGCCGCAGTGAGAGCCGTGCCACGTCTGTCCCAGGGACCAACATGCCTGCGACCTTCGGCCACCTGGCAGGTGGCTATGATGCCCAGTACTACGGCTACCTGTGGAGCGAGGTGTACTCCATGGACATGTTCCACACGCGCTTCAAGCAGGAGGGCATCCTCAACGGCAAGGTGAGGGCAGGCCAGCCACTCAGTGGGAGGGGGTGCCCGCCTGCGGAGGGAGCAAGTGACCTTTCGGCACTGCTCCCTGCCGCCCGGGACCAGGGGAGGGGAGCGGGGACACCTGCTGGTCTTCGCTGGGTCCTCCTGGGGCTGGGGCTCAGCCAGCTCTCCAGACCTGTGTTCTGTCACCGCAGAAGCTCAGCCACCTGTGCCGTGGGCTCGGCTGGGGCTTCAGCCTCTGTGACGTGAAGGGCCTTGCGGTGTTGTGAATGGGTGGGGTTCTGCACGCACGTGCTCGTGCACATGCTTGTGAATAACACTCGTGTGCTTGCGCGTGCATGTTCTCTCTGATGCTGATGCAGGCACCCATGAGCCCACTTGTGGCCGGGAGGGGATGCTCGAGGACTGATCACCCCCACCCCATTCCCAGCAGGTTGGCATGGACTACAGAAGCTGCATCCTGAGGCCCGGGGGTTCCCAGGACGCCAGCGTCATGCTGAAGCTCTTCCTGGGCCGAGACCCCAAGCAGGACGCCTTCCTCCTGAGCAAAGGGCTGCAGGTGGACCGCAGCGAGCCAGCAGCCTGCTGACGCACCAGAGCCCTGCCAGCCCCGGGCCAGCCCACCCCAGCCCCACCCTAGCTCCTGCCGCCCTGTTGCCTTAGCCCCCAGTCGGGAAACGGGGTGGCCTGCAGCTCAGGGTGGAGGGTGGGGGCAGGGTGAGGAGAGGGGGTGTTCGTCCTCCCCGTTCATTCCTCCTGTCCAGTCTCCTCAGTGGTCGGCCGGGGCTGGTGGGGTCTTATCCTCCAGATGCCTGGGAAACTGTGTCCCGTCAGGCCCGCCGATTTGTTGCACTAATCCATCCCCTTCTTGGGAAGTTTTCTGAGTGAAAAGATGGTGGTTCTTTGAAATGCAGCCATTAAAAAAAAAAAAAAAAATTGTAAAGAAGGAAGAGACTGTTGGCCTGGTCTCTGACTCTTGTGCTTCTACCGCAGACCAGCGGACTATCCGTTGTCACATGGGGGTGACGTGCCGATGAGCCCGTCACCCCCGGATGTGCTTGGCCATCAGCCCTCAGGCCAGGGACACGGGGCGGTCGAAGGCTGGCGCGTTCTGGATTGTGACGGGTTGGGGTCTCTGGGAGCCGGCTGAGCTGTCAGACTGCGTGCAGGGGTGGGGGTGCCGATGGGAATTGCGGAACCAGCGTGCCACTACCGCTCACCAGGAGGGGTCTGTTTCCCGCCGACCTCCCCCCTCCCTGTGCGGCCCGGGCCCACGTGGACCAGGCTCAGCTCTTCCAGGAAGCTGGGAGGCCACGCCCGCCCTGGGGCCCTGGAGCCCCCCCACTGGGCACAGCTCCTGTCCCGGCCCCTTGGCCAGGCCTAGGGATTTGTGATTTGACGGTTTGATTAATGGGCGCAGCTGCTGGACGCCAGGCTGGGACCTCTCTGGACCGCGTGACCTTGAAGACTAAGGCACGTGTGGTCCTCTTGGCTCAGCTCCCTCTGGCTGGTAGCAACGCAGCCAAGTCTGGGCCATGGGGACGGGCGGCCTTCCTGGGTCCTCTGATAATTCTTCAAAATGCCTTAGGTGATACTTTCTGGTTGTGGAAATTCGGAAGGGGTTCTTGAGCAGCACCACTTCCTTTGGTCTGGGCCGTCCCGTGTGTTCTGTCTTCCCTGGTCTTTGAGCTCTTTGGGAGCCCTGCCACCTGCCCGGGAATTGTCCCCACCAGTCCGTCATCCCCCTCCCCTCGAAAGGGGACCGATCCATGATCCGTGGAATGAGGAACCGTGCAGCTCCCTGACCCTTCTCCCCGAGGCAGGCGGCCATGCCTGTCAGGCTGGCACCTCGGGAAGGTCTGCCTCCTTGCCCAGCCCATTCTCACCAGCTCTAGGCTAGTCGGCTGTGGCCGCTGCCCTGAGGCAGACCTGGTTTACTTCCTGCTCCCTCCTCTGTGCCTGAGAGGGCGGGGAACTGGGGCCCAGAGCTGCTGTGCTCCTGGCGTTCGAGGGCGCTGCTAAGAAGGTGGAGGTTTGGGGCGCCTGGGTGGCTCAGTCATTAAGCGTCTGCCTTCAGCTCGGGTCATGATCCCAGGGTCCTGGGATCGAGCCCCACGACAGGATCCCTGCTCGGCGGGGAGCCTGTTTCTCCCTCTCCCACTCCCCCTGCTTGTGTTCCCTCTCTCGCTGGTCTCTCTTTGTCAAATGAATAAATAAAATCTTAAAAAAAAAAAAGGAGGAGGTTGAGACCGTCCCAGGCCGCTGTTGCTTACACTTAAACCAGCTGGGGCCCAAGAAGGAGCAAAGACAACCAACAGACCACACCTGGGCTTCCATCAGGGGCTCCCGTCCAGCAGTAGGCATGTTGGGGGCTGAGCTGTCCTTGCCTTTCCCCGTGCAGAGCCCCCAGACGGCCACGACCTGGTCCTTGTGCAAACCCAGCTGGGGTGCTGGCGCCCCCAGCGGGGCAGTTGGGGGCCGGGGATGGGGACGGAGCCACAGGCCTGTGTCCCTGAGTGGGCCAGTGGGCTCGGGGGGATGCTGCACACCTGCTCTCAGGTTTGGTTCAGGATGCCAGGGAGAGCTGTTGGATCCTTCCAGCCGGTGGCCTCGAGCAGCCGCTTTCCCCCTGAGGGAGCCGAGGGGCCGTCGTGTGACTCCTCCCCTCGGGGCTGTTCAGCCGGGGCATCTCAGGACCGGGGCTGTGTCCACTCCTTCCCGGGCACCCTCATCCAGCAGTGCCAGCCGGAGCCAGCAGCCTGGCGGGACCCGGCTTGGTGCGGCCTCGGTGATGAGCACAGCTTTCTCGTTCTGGGAACCCCCATGTGGATCCTGGGTTCAAGTCTCAGGCTTGGCTTGTGGGGTGAGTGGGGCCCGGGGGGGACTTCCAGCCCAGGCTAGGCCAGGTGGGAGCCCACGTGACCCAGGAAACCGAGCTAATCTTGGCCGCAAAGGGGGCACAGGCTGGTGTGGTCTCATCCTCACCACCCCAGACCTTCCCTGGGCTTTCCAGCCCGCCCTGCCACGTAGGAGGTGGGGGCACCGCTGAGTCCCAGAGGCGCCCACGGTCCCAGGCTAGGGCGGGCACTGCGGGCCATCTCCCCAGCCAGAGCGTGGTTCACCGTGACACGTAGCCTCGCTGGGCTGGTGCTGTCAGGCCCGTGACTTGTGTTGAAACTGGGAGTAGAAGTTCGGTGTCCCCTGTCCCCCCACCCTGACTCGGGACTGGGAGAATATAGGCTGTGGGGTACACGGAGCCGCGCTCAGTGACCTGGGGGGACCAGAGCCATGAGGAAGGCTGCCCCGAGCTGTGCACTGACGAACCCCGAGTTCCCTTTCCTGCTTCAGCCACTCTGAGCAGCCCTTGTCACCCGCAGCGCCCTGTCCCCGGCCCTGTCCCCGCCGGCCCCCCCGGGATACGTGGCAGTTGAAGCTGGGCTCGCCACAACACCGGCCTCTCAGCCTCTGGGACTGTCGGGGCCCCCCTCCGACTGGGGGTGTTGAGGTAATCAGGGCGGGCGGGCGCCGGGGGCCCGGGGAGGGTTGTGTTGGTTCTGGTCCGGGAGGGACTTAGCAGTCCTCACCGCCCCTGAGCCCAGAGAACGGCACCGGCCCCAGGCCCTCCTGCGGGCTTCTGTCCACGCCTCTCAGGACAGCGGCCCCGTCTGCGGGGCTGTGCGCGTGTTTATGGTTAATAGCTTCGTGGAGGTAAAATTTCCATGAAAATCACACGTTTAAAGTTTCGACACTCGTTTGTCCTCGTGGAAGCATCACCACACTCAGGACGACACAGCGTGACGCCCAGTTTCCTGGTGGCCCTGCCGCGCCCCACACGGCTGTTCACCTGCTTCTGTCACTGCAGGTATGGTCCGTTTTCTTACGGCTTGCGCGAACCGCCCCGTACAGGATGTCCTCGCTGTGGTTTTGTCTGGCTTCTTACGCCGAGGGTCATTACCTCGAGAGGCGTCCTTGCGGGCCCCTTATTCTTGGTGCATGCGATTGCATCGTATGTGAATGTTTGTTCATTCACCCGGTCCACTTTGGGGTTAGTTCCGGTTTGGGGCTGCCGGGAGTAAAACTGTGCGCGTTCGTGGGCCTGCCTTTGTGTGGACGTGGGCTTTCAGCTTTCTAGAAGTGGATTTCAGCTCTTCGGACAGGCGTGAAGTGGCCTCTCACTGGGGGTTTACTTCGCTTCTCCCTCATGGCGAACGATGTCCAGCCGCTCTTGACACGCTTGCTTGCCGTCCGTGTGTCTTTGACGAAGAGCCTCCTACCCATGTCTGCTAGCAGAAGTACTTGGAACCGGAGATAATTACATGTTTAAAAGATTACTAGTTGTAACAGTGTCAAACATTAAACACGTGGCAATGAGCAGGACAAGAGACGTGCAGCCCTCTGCCCTGAGAACGCAGACTCCTGTCGAGGGAGGTGAGCAGAGAGGGGTTGAGCTTGTTCACCGAGCAGAGAGGCTCGGGAGACGCCTGCTCTCCCCCCGCCAGTGGGTCTACAGACACGGCGTGATCCCGATTAAAATTCCAGCAGACTTTTCTTTCTTGTAGAAACTAACTGATGATTCTAAAATCTATATTAAAATGCAAAGAAGCTCAAGTGGCCGAGGAGGCCTTGAAATCTGGAGGACGTTCACCATGCGTGACCCAAGACTGCTAGAAAGCCACAGTCGTGAAGCCGCGGTGTGGTTTGGGCACAGCGATGGACAGAATCAATGGGTGGAGCGGAAGAAACCGAAGTCCAGGAGCAGACCCATACGTAGGAGACGTCTGCGTTTGCACTGAAGGCATCGCGGCAAGTCGGGGGAAAGGAGTCCCTTTCCAGCCGGCGGGCCCGCGTGTGCTGAAGACTGAGCCTCGATCCTCCAGCTTACACTCCGCGCGAAAATGAGCTTAAAATGGACCCTCTAAACGTGAAAGGCCAGCAAATATCTCCGGTATGTTCTCCCAGCCCCCGTGCGGCCTCTCACCCGTGGGAGTCGGTGGTATTTGCGGAATCAGTGAAGCCAGCAGGCAGACTGCAGTGCGGGTATGTCCGCAGAGTGGCAGGGCCTCGCCACACGTAGACATTCGAGGCTCTCGCCTCAGAGAACGTGCTAGAAGGTCCCTGGATGGAAGTCCTTCTGAGATGTTGGACAGGTGTCTCGATCTCCTAGACAAGCCTAAAACTAAAATCGAACAATATTGAATATTCTATTGATGACCGGAGGAAAGTGCCCCGGAATGATGCATCCAGAGAGGGTCGGAAGAAGCCAGGGTCCCGAAGTATGACCAGTGGCTGAGCAAACACTCTTGACTACAGAGTTTTAGCGCTCGAAGACCAGTTTCCTGAAATAGGCCCAAACTGGCCATGGTCTGAGGATTGCACTGTTGAATCACTTGCACATCTTCCATCGTATAGATTCAGGAATGTTGCTTTCGAGCTTGTGTATCAGTAGACTGTGGGGAGGGGGGTCCGGGGTTATGGGGGGCAGTGTCCGGTAGAGAATAAGGAAGACAACCGTGTGGCTACAATGGATGTCACTCAAATTTCCCACGTGAAAACACCTTTAGGTTATGGTTTTTGACAACAATACAGTAAACTTTGTCGCAAATAACAGAAACGTAAGCGTGAGAGCGCTTGCCGACAATGAAAGCTTAGGCAAATAATGCATCTCAACCTTATCTGTAATGTCTGAGAGAGCCAGGCCAGGGAAGGAGGTCAGGGTCCCTCTGCTTGGGAGTTTCAGCTCCCAGGGGTGCTGTTCTGGAGTCTGAGGCCTAGAGAGGTTCCCTGAGCAGGGGAGGCAGCGATGTGGGGTGGCATGGTTGGGGGTGGTTTCTGCGGCGCCGTGTTGTTGAACTAGATGCTGGTGCCTGTCTCCACTGCCCATCAACCCGTGTGAGCAAGAGCAGACTCGGGGCCTTAGGAAAACCGAAAACCGCCTGGCCCGATGAAGGCA